AAAATCTTTGCAGATCACATTTTCTCTGCAACCAATGTCAGTGACAGTTTAAACCTTTATGTGTTGACTGTGCAGTTGTACTAAAGTAAAATCCATGCAATTGAAAGGATTAACTTGACCTTCCAACATGGAAGCAAAACATACCTGGGATTGCTGAGATGTGATTTGTGACATCATATGTGCAACTGTTTCTGAGTAACTGTTAGAAGATTTGCTAAAAGTCACTTTTATAGGTGGTGTTCAAACAGGTAGTATTTAAAATTATGATTTCTTCTATTGGAAGTGTATATAAACAGAAAGTATATGAATGTAAGTTCAAATATATTCATATATAAATAGAAAACATGAACATTCATTATTTTCTGTGATGTCTTCATTTTCACAAAATAATGTTTCAGTCTGTCAGTTACTCAGCACCAGAGTCATGTCACTGGTAAAGTAGATTAGTTATAATGATCTATCTTCTAATGAGACATGCATACAATTATTATATAGTACTCAAATTTGAATAAGTAGCAGACAAATGTGAATGAGAAGACAATAAATAATACCAATTCAGAAGTTCCAGTTGTAATACCTATTTTCTAATGACAGCAAGATGAAGAGTGTTTTATCTTCAGTCTCTACAATGCAGAGCATGTGGTAATGGAAAGAATTTTGATAATGGTCTATCATCATATGCAGATTGTTTTATTTTCCAAATTGCATTAATCATACAACCCTCCAAACAAAGTTGTTGTCAAAATTACACTAATTCATGAGAAGAGTTTAAGGTATTCTGTGGAACAAGTAACTAGCCTGTGAAACTGGTATCAACTGTTAAGAATATTTAATGAAATACTTATGTGCTGACATAGAAAAATAAGGTAAATCTCAAAGCATATCAGTCAACTGGCATCCAGTTATCATAACACTCATCATCTAAAACAAAGAGAAAGGAGTCAGGGGCAGTAACAGTGACATGGAATCTGTACCTTGTTCTCAAGATAGTTCTGCTGTCACAGTGTCTGCTTGGTTCTGTGTATTTTGCTGAATATTATGAAAATTAGAGGTGTTTACTTTTAACATGGATAATGTGATTTAGCTCAAAAGCATAGATTCAGCTTCTTGGTTTTCTGTTTATGATGTAATTGCATGCACACTGTGTAAATATCATAACAAATCAAAGCCATGAGCACAGCTGTCAGTGAATAACTACAACAGGTTATTTTCAACACATGGGTAGATGAATTATTTTTTACTTTGTTTCCTACCTGTTCATTTCTTCATCATCCACTAGTAATCTTTAAAATTTATAAACACTCAGAAAAATTGTATAAAAACATCACATCAAGAAATAATCTATACTATGGAAAATATTTTAAAAACCACTACGGGAAAAGAAACCCAGGACTTTGATGTCCTAAGAACCATTGTCTTCAAGTTCCCAACAGTAACCATCACTCTGAGCAGATTAGAGCCACAGTGCCCTTGTTCATTTGTATATATGATTCCTGAACTGTGCACAGCCATGTTTAAAAACAGACATGAAAATTTTCTTTTTCAATCCATAAACCTATAGACTTGTGAGTGTTATTGCCAATGACATGTGCCACGTGAGTGGACCACTGAACAAGAAGTGATGTGTGAGCAAGAGGGATTAAAACGTGGTGTTCATGTTAAGTCTGTGTCAGAGAAATTGAGACAGTCACAAAAACTCTTATAAACTTAGTTTCATGAGAATAGGAGACACAGAGTTACCCACAGTAAATGACTCCACTCAGAAATGAACTGAAGATGAATAGAGTAATCAGTATCTTCTGTGATTGTCTTCAATGACACTGGCAGATGTCATTAGACTAGGGGTGGGGGCTGTACTGCAGTTACACCTGACTTTGGGTTGTTTGGATCCCTTCAAGTATACCCTAAGGAGTCTACTCTTGGGAGAGAAGCTGAGATTAAAGGCTCTGTTCTCATTCAATGGTCTATGTTTTAAAGACAGAAAACTGGGGCTTAGAGTAAGGGAGATTTCTGTAAGGCCACAGAGGAAAAGTAAGACAAATCTCAGAACTTCCCAAGGGCTTTCCTGTATCATGTCACTATGCTCAATGACAAATCTCTTTTGTTGTCAGGGAACATGAGAACAAGTGGTTCCCACCATGTATGAGGAGGACTCTATTTTCTGTAAATACAAAACAATATTGAAGTGTTGTCTCTGACCATGTTATCCTGATACACAGCAGACTATCAGAAAAGGAAACACAGCAAGAAGACCCTCCTCCTCACTCTGTGCAATGTTAACTTTAGAAATGAGAGCTGGCAACAAACCACCTCAGGCCATCTTTAGATCCCGAAGGAGAGTTGTCAGTGATTTTTCACTGTTGTGCACAATTGACTCTGAAAAGATATGTTTAAAGTGGTCCCTATTGACCCTTATATAGTAATGTAAGATGGATTATTTTTTATGCCACTGAGATCTGTTTATTCAAGCTACTTCATGCAAATATGCATCCTGTACATTTACACAAGTATTGCTCAGGAGCTTAATCTATGGTAGTAGTGTCAAGGTTAATTAAAGCTGTTTAAGTATATTCCAGAATGTAGCATTTGGCTCTAACTTAGTAAATGCTAAGACAGAGACAGCTTAAATTACAAATCTGGTGTGTTGGCTAGGACACTTCAGACAAGTAACATGTCATTTAGGAAGTTTAATAAAACTGAAGGTAAATACATTTGTTAAAATAATTTAAAAGTTCTAAATAGTTACAGTTCAAATGACTAAACTATAATGTGATTTATGCTAGTGTTCTGCTCCAGGGGAGAAAATGGTGAGGACTTTCATAGAAATGTGGAGGAAAACCGTCTGTTTGGAACAATGCCCATGAGGGAGCTCCTAGAAAGAAAACACTGTACTCCAGATTCTCATCATTGTTGATAACTAAGTTATTGAAGATTATGGTTACTTAGTCCCTGAACTTGACTTTCTTTCCAGTCATACATTTCTTTCTTACAAAGTCATATAAGAACTTGAGGTTCTGCCGCTTCAGACCACTGTAGTCCAACTAAATAAGATGTCAGTAAGGATTAACACAGACTCTATTTACTTATTCTTTTTATCCCACCCTCTAGTTGGTCCCTTCTTCTAATATCCCCCTTTTTGTTTGAAGGTCTTTCCATTTTTTATTATTTTTTAAGTTTTTATTTAAATTAGAAACAAGCTTGTTTTACATGTCAATCCCAGTTCTGTCTCCCTCTCTCCTACCTGTCCCCCACTAACCACCTATCCCATCCCCTTTCTGCTCCCCAGGGAGTGTGAGGCCTTCCATGGGGGTTCTTCAAGGTCTGTCATATCATTTGAAGCACGGTCTAGTCCCTCCCATTGTGTACAGGCTGAGAGAGTATCCCTCTATGTGGAATGTGCTCCCAAAGTCAATTTGTATTATAGGAATAAATACTGATCTACTACCAGAGATCTCATAGATTGCTGAGGCTTCCTCACTGACACCCACTTTCAGGGATGTAAAGGGAAACCTTTTCCTTGGGAGAAGCCTTCCCGCCAGCCTGGTTCTAGAGCCGCATCAGTCCCAAATAAACTCACAGGAGGCTATATTAATTATGAAGCTGTTGGCCTTGCTTGTTTCTTACTGGCTAGCTCTGACTTAAGTAATTACCCTATAATTGTTAATCTAAGTATGTCTCTTACCGGAGAAGTTTCTGGGCTTCCTACCCCATGGCGTTATATCTTGACTCCTGAGTTTCTCCTACCCAGAGTCCTCCTGGATTCCTAGTCCCCCCTATCTTGGTCCCTATTGGCCAACAGTGCTTTATTGACATATACACAGGACTTCCCCATCACAGGGGTCTGAATGAATCTTATGCTGGTTTCCCAGCTATCAGTCTGGTGTCCATGAGCAACCCCTTGCTCAGCTCAACTGTTTCTGTGGGTTTCACCAGCCTGATCTTCACTCCGTTGCTCATCAATCGTCCATCTCTGCAACTGGATTCCAGGAGTTTCACTTAGTGTTTATCTGTGGGTGTCTGCTTCTGCTTCCATCAACTACTAGATGAAGGCTCTAGGATAGCATATAAGGTAGTCATCAATCTCATTATCTGGAAAGGGCCTTTAAGGTAGCCTCTTCACTATTGCTTAGATAATTAGTTGGTGTAATCTTTGAAGATCTCTGGACATTTCCATAGTGCCAGATTTCTCTTTAAACCTATAACGGCTCCCTCTACTATGGTATCTCTGTTCTCAGTAGAGGAGTCTAAAATGGCTGAGAGACACTTAAGAAAATGCTCAACATCCTTATCCATCAGGGAAATGCAAATCAAAACAACTCTGAGATACCATCTTACTGCTGTCAGAATGGCTAAAATAAAAACCGCCAATGACAGTTTCTATTGGAGAGGATATATAGAAATGGGAACAGTCTTCCAGTGCTGGTGGGAGTGTCAATAAATACAGGCACTTTGGAAATCCATATGGAGATTCCTAGGGAAAGTGGGAATCAGTTTACAACAAGATCCAGCAATTCCACTCTTAGGTATATTCCCAAAAGATTCATACAACAAGGCCGTCTGTTCCACTATGTTCATAGCAGCATTATTTGTAATATCCAGAACCTGGAAGCAACCTAGATGCCCCTCAACTGAATAGCTGGATAGAGAAAATGTGGTAAGTGTACACAATTTCCAGGCAAATGGAAGGAACTAGAAGAAAGCATCCTGAGTATAGTAACCCAGTCACAAAAATAAAAACATGGTATGTGCTCACTCATATATGGATGTTAGACATAGAGCAATGATTAGCAGTCTATAATCCACACAGCCATAGAAGTAAGGACACAAGGAGGACCCTAAGAGAGATATACATGGTCCCCCAGAGAAGCGGGAAGGGATAAAATTTCCTGAGCAAATTAGGAGCATGGGGGAAGGGGAAAGGAAGCTAGAAGAAGGAGAAGGGGAGACGAGAAGGGGAGAGGAGGACATGAAGGAGCAGGAAGTTTGAACCAGGGAAAGAATAGAGGAGAGCAAGATAACAGAAAGCAATTTTTCATATCAACTTCTCACACTATTGTACATAAGCAAATCAAAGCTGATGGGAAAGATTTTTTGAAGTTCAAGCCTACTATCAATGAATGCAACAATTTGTAATGCAATGCAGAAGCAAATTCCTTGTCATTCAAACCAGCCAGACTTGGGAAGATTAATTTAAATGTCTATGATATTTAAGAAAAAAGGAATCAAGGTCACATTATCCATTTCTGTTCTAGTACCTCCAAACTGTGTTGGTAATATGGCTAAAATTTTAAAAATCAATTTGTTAAAAGTGTAGTCTAGCAATGTCTCATCAATGGCTTTGAAGAAAGTTCATTGATCAGAGTTCATTGTTCAAGCACATCTGATAATGGCAGACACACATGGGTACATCATCAGGGAGGAAAAGCATACATACTGACAAGTCCAGGAATAATGAGGGCACTGAACTGCTCCTCCTCAGTAGTTCCCCAGGGTCAAGGTCCAGTTATCCAATGGTCCAGGAAAGACAGGATTGTGAGAGATGGTAATAGCTTAGCACAGGAGGCAAAGCTTTTAGAATGCTGTGAGTATGGTAAAGAGATAGAATCAAAAGAAAAGTTCACAACCAATGGCTTGTCTTGCCTTGCCTTAAAAATACACAAGTTCTGCTTTCTTGTGCTCAAGAACATTCCTTGATGATCTTTGCAATGACTGAACCTTTGGCATTGAGTAGGAAATGGGGAAAAATCTCTGCATTACAAAAGAAACAAGAAGATGTGTGAAAAATTGAAGTGACATGTTGGAAAAAAGGCAGATATGGTTGAAGATCCGATCATTATTGTGGGTGTAGTTTTTTCTTTCTTCCAGAGAATCACGTGACAAATAATTTCAGAGAAAAGTTATTCTTTTCCTGACACTATTGTTCAGAATGTTATAGAAATATATTGAATCCTTGCTTTTTAATAATCTGCATGGATTTTTATTTCAGCTGTTCACTTTCCACCATTTTGTGTTATAGGCCCAACCAGCACGGCTGAGGATGTAGCAAACCTCTGGAGACTTACTTGCTGTGAGTTAACCCTTGTGTTTTAGCAATGTTCCCATTATGCATGTTATATACCTAAAGAGATCTAGACTTTGAATGAATTAAACTAATCATCCCACCTTCTTCCAGATAGAAAGTACTAGATCCCAGTCTGCTGTTCTGAAAATGACTCTATTAGTAGAATCACAATGCTACTTACAGAGTCAAGTCTCCATAGAAAAGTACACACACAACACCAAAATAAAGAATAAAAGTTTTCTAATAACATACAAATGGGACCTGGAAACATTCCTCAATGGTTAAGAACACTTTATGCACTTCCAGAGGACCTAGGTTCAGTTCCCAGCACTCACATAATAGCTCTCAGTCATTTGTAACTCAAGTCTCACTGTGCCCAACACACTTTCCTGGCCTCAAGGCAGGTATGCATATGATAAACAAACAGATATATATACACACACATATATATATATAGTTAAAACACCTATCCAAATTAAAAGGAAGTGTACTGCTAATAACAATGCTGACACTATTATATTCATAGGGTTTATAGAATTGTAATATTAAAATTATTCTAAGTGTACATCAAAGAAATATCTTAGTTTGACGACAGAACAAATTGAAGTTTCCATTAGAAATCCAAAATTTTCCAATAAATTTCATCTTTCCCTTTCTGAAAGTGTATGGGTTCTCTGATCAATGATTCTCAACATATGTTCTGCATTGTGTGAGAAAGAACATCTCTGGAGGGGAGTCTAAAAGAGACACCTCTGGTCTCCTGAGTGAGGCATATCAGATCAGTTCTCCGAGAGGGCAGTGGATTTCCACCTTAACATGATGCCTCCAGTGAACATAAAAGTCAGACATCCCCTCTTCACAGAGTTTGGAACTCTTTGAGTTCATCGGCATTAACTAAAAGTGAACGCAGCCTCTCAAATTAGGATGACGTCAGTGTGTGAGAAAATTCACACTGTTTACTGTGTATTTAGTACGTGGACAGGTTGTCTCACACCCAGAAGTATTTATCAGTCAAGTCATGTGAAAAGTATTCTCTTTCTCATGTGCCATTCCCCAGAGAGGAAAGGAATCAGGTGGATTAAATGCTATTTACGTGGGTTCCCAGGGGTACCAGAGAACAGGTGCAAGAATGAGGTGAGATTGCGTGAATGCACTGGAAATGGTGGACTTCAACATCAGCACCACAATCTGCAAGAGAAGAAGGCAGCAATACCCGTGACCTGCACGAGCGACACATCCACGTGCTGGTGCCTTCTTCACACAAGAGGTCTGACTTTTCATGTCAAGCAGAGGTGATATTTCCCTGGTGAACAAGGTCTTCATCTGTCATGGACACGGTTGTGTCTCTGTGATGTGCAAATCACCTTCTGCATGGATGTGCTGGGCTAAGCAGTGAAATCCTTTGAGAACTTTGTTTCTCCTTGTCCTTTCTGTCTGCAGTATTTGTCGTCTCTTTTTGTGTGAAAAATAAAATAATAATAATGCAATGTGTGTAATGAGTATGCTCAATCATGGCAACCCTCACAGTAATCTCTGAGGTGCAAGGAAGCTGAGGTACATGGGGATGAGGCTGATCTCTTCTAAAGCCAGTGACAAATTCAAATCCCACTGATGCTGTCCATGCTCAAGTGTTTGATAGGTAACTCTTTCCTCTACTGGTAAGCCAGCTGAATGAGATTAAATTGAACTTGCGTCATTTTATCATCCTGCCTTCTTCCCCTAAAATGCAAGAATTAAAATAATTAAATGGGGTGGGAGGGGCTGGAGAGATGGCTCAGTGTTTAGGAGCGCTGACTGCTCTTCCAGAGGTCCTGAGTTCAATTCCCAGCAACCACATGACAGCTCACAACCATCTGTAATGAGATCTGGTGCCCTCTTCTGGCTTGCATGGGTACATGCCGGCAGAAAGCTGTATACATAACAAATAAATAAATCTTAAAAAAATAAAATGGGTGGAGGGTGTACCTAATGAAGAAATAAAAATATGAAATTTCCTTTGAGATATTTTCTAGCATGTCTACTGAAATTAGCAGATGTTTCTTTCCATGATGTTTCTTTCACTCTATTTCTACTGCAAAAGGAAATCGACATATATGAGGAAAGAATCACCTTTTCACGTGTGGCCGGTTTTGCAAAACTTCCAATAATTGTATTGTCCCTTTCTGCGGGTGCAGACACTGCCATAGTATTAACTATGGGGCTTGAAGAGGCCTCTACAAACTGAGTTGTCACTCCAATGTCTCCAGCTCCTGAGTCCTGTTTATGTGATTCTGGAAAGTGCTGAGATTCAAGCAGGATTTCTTAAAACAGTGAACAACAGCAGTTAGAGTGGTTTTTTGTTGTTTTGTTGTTTTTCCCTGTGTAATAATTTTCCAGTGAAATTCTCTGGAGTTCCTGCATTTAATGCCTCTTCAATGTCTCGTGCAGTCCCAATCTTTATAGATTAAGATATTAAAGATCAGAGAAAATAATAAATTTAAGGTCTCAGAATTAATAAAGAATTGCAATATGAACCCATGATTTAATGGGCATAAGCAGCCAGGTTGGAGTGCTGAGACAATAATGGTTACCAGTAAAACTTGCTGCATTCAGGCTCATGGGAAGTAAATCAGAAACAAAAGGGCTGATGGGAAATGTACACTGAGTGGTGGGAATAGGTTCCAGTGCCAACCCTCTGGCAGACACTTGCTCAAACAGGGATCAGAGTGACATCTAGTAAGATCCTTCCCCTTCTATTCACACATGTGAAAAGTGACAGATTTGTTTTTAGCTCATCTGAGTTTGAGCCTGACCATGTTGCCTAAAACAACAGCGTTAGTATTAACCCTCCCCACTGCTGCTAAGATACATAGGAAGCCTAAGAACTTAGAAGTTGCACTTCTGCTCCTGGCCAGGAGATGGCAGTGGGAAGCAGTCTAGTCCTCTCTGCCAGACTTCACCCATTAAAGACTTTACACATTAATCCCAAAGTTGATATGAGTGATATTAATATCAAATAAAAATCATTGTCATGGAGACAAACACTGTATATAGTCATATAATAAATGCAGTTGTTTGTTGCTTTTATGTTTGCTTAGGAGCCACACCTGAAGCTACTGATATTGTTTTTAATTTTTATTTTTAAATTTAAATTAGGTTAAATAAATAAGGTTGTTTCACATGTCAATCCCAGGTCCCTCTCCCTTTCTCTCCTCTCCTCCCATTCCTGCCCACCAACCCCCATACCCCTCATTTCCCCAGGGAAGGTGAGGCCCTCCATGGGGTTGTCCATAGTCTATAATTTAATCCAGGGCAGGACCTAGACCCTCCCCCAAGAATCCAGGGTGAGAGTGCATCTCTCATTATGAGACAGGCACCCAAAGTCCATTTGTATGCTAGGGATAAATACTGATTTACTACCCAAGGCACAATAGATTGCCTAGGCCTCCTCACTGACACCCACATTCAGGTTTGTCTTGATCAGTCCCATGCTGGATTCCCAGCCATCAGTCTGGAAGTCAAGAGCTAAACCTTGTCAGATCAGCTGTTTCTGGGGGTTAAACCAGCCCAGTCTTAACCCCTTTGCTCATCAGTCCTCCCTCTCTGTCACTGGGATCCTTGAGCTCAGCTCAGGATTTAGCTGTGGGAGTCTGCCTCTGCTTCCACCAGTCATTGGATGAAGGTTCTGTTCCCCAGACTCTCTGGCCATGCAATAGTGAGCTGACACTACCCAGATCTATGTCTAAAATCCATATATGAGAGAGTACATACCATGTTTGTCTTTTTTGTGACTGGGTTACCTCACTCAGGATGGATTCTTCTAGTGCCATCCATTGGCTTGCAAATTTTAGGATTTCATTGTTTTTTCCTGCTGAATAGTACTCCGTAGTGTAAATGTAGCACATTTTCTCTATCCATTCTTCGCTTTAGGGGCATCAAGGTTGCTTCCAGATTCTGGCTATTACAAATAATGATGCTAAGAACACAGAGGAACAGACGTCCATGTTATATGAATGTGCATCTTTTGGGTATATGCCTAAGAGTGGAATTTCTGAGTCTTGAGGTAGTTTGATTGAAGCTACTGATATTTTAACTATCACGGCCCCATGGCCTGCAGTCACACCCCACTGCTCAGACCAGGGCTTGACATTATTTTCATGTCACTGGCAACAGCTCAGCTGTGGCCACGGCAGCCAAATGTTGATTTTATCTAAGCTGTTCTATTTACCAATGAAGACTCAGGAGTCAGATATTGGAGTGAAAACCTGCCATATCAGAGAAGCCAAGAATCAACCAGCTGACCTTCCTTTTCTGCCAGAGAAACAGCATGAAAAGGCCATAAATCTATAAGTCCTTTCCTACTCCTTCCTGTGTCTAATTATTTATATTTCTGAGTCTTCCATAGTCTTATTCTTGTTAACTAGTCTATGCCTCTTTCCCCATCCAAGGTTAATTTTATTAATAAAGTTTCAGAGTTACTTGTGTGGGAATGATTATTGGTACAGAATTTTCAAAGTCCTGGATTGTATCCCTGGTAACAACCCCCAAAGAAAATAATATAGTATGAAATGTATATTATACACAGGCGAGACTAGGTTTAGGAATCCCTGATATACAACATGATGGTTGACAGCTCAGAGAGTTAGGGGTTTATCTATCTATCTATCTATCTATCTATCTATCTATCTATCTATCTACATATCTATATATTTATTTTGACAATAAAATGCTCACTAGTGTTCTGCAGAATTCTACCAGAAATTCAAAGAACAGCTTATACCAATTCTTCTCAAAGTATTCCATGCAATAAAAGCAGAAGGGTTTTTGCCAAACTCTTTCTATGAGGCTTCAATAACCCTTATTCCCAAGCCACACAAAAACACAACTAAAAAGAGAACTTCAGACCAATATCCCTCATGAACATTGATGCAAAAATACTCCAGGCAGAGAGCTCAAGAGCATAAGAGAAAGTGGCCAGTGTCCACTGCCTTTGTGTTCCCATCGAAGTGACAAGTCGGATAGAGGTGCTTGTCTTGGGCATGGGATTTTGTTTTATGCTCTGTGGTCTTACATATGCATTCTTCTAACTGACTGGACATGGGATGATATGGTAGTTTGAATAAGATGACCTCACATATCTTACATATTTGAAGTCTTAGACACCAGGAAGGATTAGAAGGATTGGGAAGTCTGCCACTGGGGGTGGACTTTGAGGTTTCAAAAGCCCATGCCAGGCTTGGGCCCAGTCATTGTCTTTTTAGTGTGTGTGTGTGTGTGTGTGTGTGTGTGTGTGTGTGTGTGTGTGTGTGTGCGCTGCGCACGTGCGTGCGTGCTTGCAGGTTCCCGAAGACAGAGTCAGATTGTTGCCTGGAACTGGAACTCCAGCTCTCTAAAACAGGAACTCTTGATCCCTGAGCTATGTCTCCAGCCCTATATTTGAAGATATTTTAATATTTGACTGTATTATTGATCAATTCTCAGTATATTACATAATACTGAATCAGAATGTTTGTATTTTTTGTCTATGTGGCTTTCTCTTCTTAAGACAGCCTGCATGATGTACTGTTTCTCCCACACTTCAATTTGTTGGTATGTTCTACAAAGTTCTCTGTGTTCTTGGACTCTCTCTGCTCTATAGTTCTGTCTTCCTTCCCACGCACAAATGCACCCAATCTGCACTTAACCCAGCCTTGAGAAAAACAGTCCTTATCCAGCACGTCCCTCTTTCCTTACGAATTGGGTCACTTGGCAGCTCTGCTTTTCGGTCATGGCCTCATTTCAGCCACAAACTCTTCATCTCCCTGAAAGTTCTACATTTTTCCCAGAGAACAGTCTTAAAAACTTCCAAAAGTAAATTTTGGAGCTGAATAGAGAACAGTTTATAACTGATCAGCCATAGAGGATTTGGCTTTTGTCTATAGAGATCTGCAGCAGAATTTCACAGATTGACACCACTGGGCTTCCCTTCCTGGCTGCAGGTCTTTGCCGAGGTCTAGTTGACTGCTATTGAGACAATGTCTACACCTAATAAGTGCAGGAGTTTTGCTTTCACTGACAAAATAGTAAAGCTTCCTTTTATAGACCCTCAAGGACAATTGAAAATGGAAAAAAAAACCTATGTACAGTCAAAACCAGTTTCTCAGTTTCTTTCATCTGGGTACTACTAGCTTCAGAAGACAGGAATGGTCACTAAAGGAGTGAAGTAATTCCCGTGGGAGACCACTGGCTTGTGAGATACGTGGATGTCTTTATATCAGATGAACTGTATGGACAGGATTTTCTAGAAAAGAATGAATAATTGGAAATTACCAAGTTGGCTTAGCCAGTATAGAAGATGTGATGAAGAACATGACTCTCTAAACCATGCTTTATAAACCCTAGTGAACTGCACATATTTAAGTGGCGAGTATAACGAAAGGAAACATCTCTTCACTGAGCCATGCAATGACCTGCTTGGGGACAAACCCACTCCTCATTAATCCTCATTAGAATATCGCACCTAATTGTC